TTAAAGAGTTCTATTTCCAGTTCATTTGGGAAGTTCCTGATTGGTCGATCGACCAAACAGTGGTGTGTTTTAGTGATGTAAGAGGTTATTAAAAGTCAGAAAAACAGAAAAATTGTTTTGGAATGGACAGAAGATGTTTTTGAGACAGACGAGAGAAATGTTTAGGCGAGTTGGGGGAAAACAGGTGCCAGCTTCTCTATTTATGTCTGAGAGGATTTAAAAACATGACAGTTCATTCCAACAACTTGTTTTCGTTTGACTCCAACCTTGGACCAACTTACACTTGCTCATTGAAGACAGAAAATCAGAAAATGCATAATTACTCTGTAACAGACCTTAACTTGATTTCTACTTTGAATGAGGATTAAAAAATCACTAATACTGTTTCACAGTTGATTTAAAATGAGTAGTTCACTTCAACATTTAAAAATGGTTTGAACTAAACACACTTTGATTATCAAGACATTTGTATTATAGTAATGATAATAGAAAAAGAGAGTGTTCTTTCAATTGATCATAGAAAAAGAGAGTGTTCTTTCAATTGATCAGTGCAGGACACTTAGAAAGTCTCTGGATGAACTTAATTTTGTGTTTCTGGACTCAAATCAATGAAATACAGTTCTTGTCCCAGGAAGGCCCTCAAGGCCAGATTTGACCTGAGGCTTAGTTCACTACACTCACAATCATTTGTGTAACAGCCGTTAATCCAGACTTTTTAATCTTCAGAGTATGTGCTATTGTGATTCCCTGGAACTATCCCCTAATGATGCTGGCCTGGAAGACTGCAGCTTGCCTGGCAGCTGGAAACACCATGGTTCTCAAACCTGCTCAGGTTGGACTCAGCCTGCAGAAATCACTCCTAAACCAAACCATTCTAGAGATACTTGAATCATTTTTATTATTCTACCACCAGGTTACTCCACTTACAGCATTAAAGTTTGCTGAATTGGGAGCAAGAGCGGGGCTGCCTAAAGGGGTGATTAACATTTTACCTGGATCAGGTAGGAAAGCACAACCTGGTTAATTAGTAAAGACAAACCAAATTCACAAATAGGAGGTTTCTTTAAGTTTATCCTTTTCTTTTAGGTGCTGTGGTGGGGCAGCGTTTGTCTGACCATCCTGACGTACGTAAGCTGGGCTTCACAGGTTCCACTGAAATCGGTAAACACATCATGAAAAGGTAAGAGTATGACTTGCACAGACCTCCGTCTTCAAAAGAAATAAAATTGCTCACATTTATGCTTGATCTAAAGCTGTGCAGTCAGTAACGTAAAGAAAGTCTCTTTGGAGCTTGGAGGAAAATCCCCTCTCATCATCTTCAGTGACTGTGACATGGACAAAGCTGTGCGCATGGTGTGTACACATTTCCTTCATTTATTATCCATGCAGTGTGTTTGTGCTGCTACAACCAACATGTTGTTATCTGTGTGTTTCAGGGCATGAACTCCGTGTTCTTTAACAAAGGAGAAAACTGCATTGCAGCTGGCAGGCTGTTTGTGGAGGACTCCGTTCATGACCAGTTTGTAGAAAAAGTGGTACGTTTCTCAGGCCGGTTCAAACGTTATCACTGACTGTGGAAATCTGCTGCATTAAAAACAAGTTTCATTAGATCAAACTGAAGTTCTACTGTCACGCCTGTGCCCAGTGTTGATTGATGATTTATGACTGACGATAACTTCCACCCAGAAATCCACAGTTTATTTTTGCTCTACTGGAAACCTTGTTTTCTTTCTTTTTACTCTTAATCAGTGGTTAATTTGAGCCGGATCCTGTTGGAACAAGATCCGCGAACTCTCTCATTTTGACCCGTTCTGTTCCGGCAACTCTTTGTTCGGATCCGGCAGCTCCGCCCAAAAAAAGTCCAAAGTCATTGTGTATTTTTATTTTGATTATTTATTTATTTATTTATTTTTTTTATTTTTTTTTTTTGTGAGCTCAGTTTAAGTGTAGAAACATTGTGAAGTGTTTCAATGAACTTATCATCATCGCTCAATTTTTTTTTTTTTTTTTTTTTTTTTTTAAAGAAAGAGAAGAAAGAAGAATAAATAAATAATAAAAAAGAAGAAGATAAGACAAGAGACCAACATGACAAAACAACATGCACAGCACAATGCCACCCACAATATCACCATGAAACATTCGACATCGCACAAGGAATCATATAGCTTCCACCACTACCCAACCTAGCGTGCATCTGTCAAAGCACCTGAATCCAAACACCCGCGCAAGCACGCCCACCACCACCAGATTTCTCCAAAAGAATGCCCAATAGTGGACGCGGGGGCCCACAGACCCGCCCCCCCAGGACACAATGGCAACATAGGGAGGACCGGAGCCACAGACACACAGCGGCCCACAGGCCCGGAGCCCCAAGAGTCTCCCAACAGGGAGAACCGCACCCCCCCCCAGAGAGGAGCAGAGGAAAGAACCGGGTGACCCCAGCCACCACAATGCAGAGCCTCCAGGAAGCTGCAACGACGAGCCCACAGGCCCGGCCAGCGACCCATGCCACCCCCAAGTAGATCCGGCCATGGACACCGAGCCCCAAGCCCCGAGGCCATACCACCCCCCAGCAGAGCCCCGACAGAGCCAGGGCACCCAGGCCCCGCCAGGCAGCAACCAGGGCGGACCGACGTGCACCCCACCACCCAGCCCAGACACCGAGAGCCACCAATGCACCGGCGGCAAGGGAGTCCCCCGCCAAAGGGGGGCACGACCGGGGGGAGTGGGCCCCACACCAAACGTGGGGCCCAAATTGATCCAAGAGAGGGGGGACCACCAAAAACCCAACCCGAGCAACCAACAGGCACACACAGATAGCCCGACAGAATCTCTGTCGGGCCGACCGCATGCACCATCTACCTGACAGCGACCACAGGCCGGCCCCAGCCCAAGGGGCAGAGCAGCAGGGAGCCGCAGCCGAGGAGGGCTGGCTCTCACATCAAGAGCTCCGCACCATAGGCCCGGAGACGCCCCAGCACGCCACCCATGCACCCCCCCACACACAGAGCACCCCCACTGCAAATGCCACACAGGAAGACCAGCCAGTGCCCGGATGAGGCGAAGCCACGCCCCCAACCGCCGCCCTACACCACCAATGACCACACGTACACTACCATAGCCGACCCCCCGCCGAAAGCCGGCAGCCACCCCGGTCAGAGTGCCGGCCATCGCAACCAGGAACCTAGATTAAAAGAATCGGAACAGCCCAGGAGGAACCGAAGCACCGGCCCCAACACTGACCGCCCCCAAGGCCCAAAGCCCACCCACAGCCCAGACCCCAACAATGCGCCCCCCCCCCCTCCATCCCCGACCCCTAGTGTCACACGGAGAAAGGAGGTGTTTGTGAAAGGGGAAAAAAAAAAATACATAAATAAATAAATCTATATATGCATAAATAAATTATGAACAGACCCACTTCCTCCTCCTCCCACTCGAATATGGTGTTGATGCATGTTGTTATACAGTGCGTTTAAAATGGGGGGATGAGGTGGCGACCGGCACAGACCCACCTCTTGCCCAGAGAGCAGGCGGCGCCCGTTCACCCCTCATCTCCGCACAGAACCCTAAATGTCTACATGCTACATATGAGAGTGGGCACAGGTCCGGGGAGGTGGAAATGGTAGTACATCCCACCACCTAAGTGCGATCATGTGCCCACTCCAGATCCTATATATGCCTGTGTCGTGAGAGTGTTATAAGTGAGTGTCTAGGTTGTATATTAAAATTAGGGCCCAGGACCCCACCAGCCACGGAGATGGATGATTCTCCCCGTAGCTCAGTAGTGCACCTGAACCCCAAAACCCTGTTTGAGTGGTGGTGTGGTGGAGTGGGCGGAGGAGGACGTTGGGATGGGGAGGTGAACTGAGGTGGCAATGCCCCCCCCAGGGGACCAGCTCCCCCACTGACCCCAATAGGCACCCCCACTCTCCAAGATCCACCAGGGGACAGAGGCTCTAACAGAGATACCTAGGAGGAGGTGGCAGCCGCACCACCAGGGATCAAGGCCACGGACCGGCACATAGTCCCCGAGGACCAACCAGAACCAGGGCCAGCAACCCAGACCCATCCCGAAACCGTCCAGACGCCCCAACCCGATTCCCAGCCCAACACCCAGCCCCCCAACCAGAGAGGCCACCAAACCCCAACCGGGACAATCAGCCAGGAGTGCCCAAACAGTCAGAGATAGAGCACTACAGCGACCAAGAGCGCCCCCCCCCCCCCC